TGTTATGGAAGTATGGACAAGGTGAGGAGATTTAATTTCTCTGACAAACAAAAAAAAAATAATTTGGTCACAAAAGTAGGATACAAAATATTTTATTAATACTTAAATAGATAAAAGGACTTTCATTTTATTTTAAATGGAATCAAATATTTTTGATTTAGATTCTGAGAGGAGCGATAAATATATTAATTTCACAAGGAAATATGATTTTTTTTATAAACTTTAAATTACATTTTTTGTTTTTAAACTGCAGAAATTTAAACTTGAAATTTTCATCAAATATTCATATAAGCATTTAATAGACATGAAATAGTTTTCGAAATATTTTGGGTCTTCTTGTGTTATTTAGAAGTATTTTAAATGTTCAACTTTATTTAGACTTTTTAATTTATTATAAGATTGTTGATTGAAAATATTGTACAAGGTTTCTCCAGTGGCAAAGCGTCATATGAAACAATAAAAAAACATCTACCTTCTTAAAATACGGGAACTATTAATTATTGAAATAATACATGTAATAAAATATTTATCTTTCAAAATGTCAGAATAATATATTTCAATATTTGTCATAATCTTTTCTTTTATTTATACCATTATGGTATTCTTAGAATAGTCTAGTTGAGGGTCAGCATTCAAGCTTACGGTGCCTGACGTGGCGGGTCATTCCAGTAAACATCCAGACACAGTATAAATATAAATATGAGACGACAGCGATGTCTCATTTTTTGGGGGCGCGGTGTGCCCCCGAGAATTGAAAAGTGAATGGTGATTACCAGACGGTCTCGAGTTTCATATTTTTGTTTTACTTTATGTTTCAGTAATCGTCACCGTCAAGCCATCAACCGCCACAAACCCCGTTTTAGATTGGTTTTATTTTACTGTTCATTAATTTTTGTTTTTCGACGTCTCCCCGACGTAATGACTCACGCCTCGCCACTGAACTCCTCATACCAATTATAAAAAATCAAAAATACATTAGTCACAATATTTTTTACAATCGTTTAAAGTTTATGTTTTCACAAAATAATTCAAAATTGTGAACATTTTAAATATTTAAAACGATTTTAGTTTTTTATTATTAATTTCTAAACACATTAACATTTTCAATCTATTTTATCTATTATAACTAATTTAAAGCTATTTACACCACACATTTCTTCACATTGGTCTTAATTCTATTGAATTATGAGTATAAAAACAATAACAAAGTATAGGTAGTTGATTTTTCTAGTGGTATTGAGAAAGTATTGTGTAAATGTGTGTAATTGATAAAATAAATGTAATATGAAATATTCTAGGCTGGCAGACTGTCTCCGCTCATTTTTCTCTCGTTTTTCGTTTACAATTATAGGTATTAGATATTTGTGTCTTTGGATCCACATTTAACACATCAATTAAAGTGACCTTCTTGACACCTACTATACAGCAAATTTATACCCACTTTCCCACCTTTTTATGTTTATTGATAAAAATTGATTAAATGACGTGTTAAATATTATATTTTTTTATATACCTGAACTCTAATCAATCACAATAATTTGTATTTAGAGCAACCTAAATATAGCCTGTAGGCTATAGGTAGGTACTATAATAACTATAATAATAGACACAGATATTTTTTATTTTATTTATTTTTATTTAAATTAATATCGAAAGATTACTGGGCCTCACTGAGGAAAACTCGTGTGGAGGCCCATGAGTTATCTTAGATTACAAATAATTCTTATTGTTTTAAGGTACATGTTACATTTTTAAAAAACAAATAAGCAGTTTTTCATAAATAAATCACATAAATAATTCTAGTAACTATTATAAGCGTTAAATTAGTATGTTACATACAATTTTATGTTTTACACACATATTCATATCGTAGCCAGTGGATATGATGTACCTTGTCAACGTAATGCTTAACAGTTCCTGCATCATCGTCGATACCACAAAAAAAAGACATGATGTACCAACCTACATAGCTATTAAATATTATAAATATAAATGATTACACATAGGAGCTTAAAAATCATGATTTTGTTTAAAATATTAACTTTTAAAAGCATTAAATAAAATGAGAAAATTCTTAAACTTTCTTACACTTTGTAGTTTTGTATTATTTCTTAGAATAATGTACGTCAATGTTTTATCTGAGCCAACGATAAACACCATAATATAATAATTTATTTTAAGCGAGTTCACCCATAAATTAGATCTATCAGCCTTCATTCGTAATGAATGAGAAGAATGAGATGAAATAAAAGTCAACTAGATAACAACTAACATTTAGATACAAAAAGAATCCACATATTTCTTAGTCTTCTGAAAAGACCATGCAATAAGTTACTAATTTTTATGCTACCAAAATGTTTAATTATATTTTCGTCACATTTTGATAAAATGCATTTTTAAGGAAATTATCATGTAAATATATTTAAATATTTAAATTAATAATTCAAAACAAATTTATTTTATGAATATTAAATTTAAAAATAGTGAGTCAAGTTTTATTAGTAATTTTTTTTATCATATTTAAATAATTATAAATTTTTAACAATTAATACTTATTGAATGTATAACAACCATGTTTCATAAACAAAAAACTGTATGACACAAAACATTGTGCACTGTAATTATTAAATGTTCCTTTGGTGTATTTTCTCAGTTCTTATGAATATATTTTAGGTTTTTTTTTAGTAACATACCTTTTATGAGTTTTAAGGAGATTGGAAACAGTGGTTTTTTACTATAGTCGACTTAAAAACTGAGCTATTTAAAAAATGTACTATTCAATACTTATTCTTCATGAAATGCTTAACAGTTTATACAACCTGTTTCTCTAAAAATTATTATGTAAGTGATTCCACTAAACTCACCATTTACGATCAGTTTCTCTACACAAACCATATTTTTAAAATGTAATTGAGGCGATAGATGCAATGTAGTCACAGGACTAGGTGAAGAGTGGCCATCTACCTGCTATAAGGGGGCACCTCGGAGATATTATAATTTAGAATAAAACAATGACACAAATATTTATCTCTATATCTCTAAAGTTACGAGCAAAATTTAAAAACAATTAAAAACTAAAATAAACGTGTAAATTGGATCCCTATATATTATTTAGATTATTAACAAATAATAAAGACTCGGTGGGACTGGGAAAACGATTTTAATATCATTGATTAGGGGTAGCTATATTTCTTTAGCTATTTATTTCTTCTAATTGACCCGACAGACGTTGTCCTGTTCTGTTACAAAGATGTGGCTGGTTTATATTAATCAACATAATGAGTATACCGATTACTACTCAAAATTACAATGATCATGTATGGTTGAGAGAAAGAGTTATATTGGCTGCAAAAAACATCGGTGTCAACGAAATGAATTTTTAGATTCAAAATAAGATAGCTGACAAATTAATGAGATACAAATCGATTGATTCCGTTAATAACCAAGATGATGTAGTTAACTATCCTACTGAGTTTTTAAATTAGCTGAAATTGCCTGGATTACCACCTCATAATCTGCAATTATAAATAGGATCGGTAATAATTATGTTGAGGAATATAAACCAATCACGTCTTTGTAATAGCACTCGACTTGCGGTGAAGAAATAAATAAACGACGTCATCGAAACCACAATTTTGAAAGAAAAGTACAAAGGCGAAGACGTTTTGATTTCAGGGAGGCCTTTGATTCCGAAAGACATGCCATTCGACTTTAAACGGTTGCAATTTCCAGTGCGGCTAGCATTTGCAATGTCGATAAATAAATCTCAAGAACAGTCGTTAAATGTTTGTGGCATTAATCTTGAAAATCCATGTTTTTCACATGGCCAATTATATGTCACCTGTTCCCGTGTCGGAATACCAACAAAACTATTCATATACGCTCAAAAAAAAAACATTAATGATGTCGTATCTTATCATAAAGCATTAAAATAATAAACACTTTTTTTTATTAATTATACCGATTCGAATTCAATATTCATAATTAAGACAGGACAACGTCTATCGGGTCAGCTAGGAATTCTATAAATTATATAACTGATCTCGCGCACTTCTTTGCCAGTTAAAAATACCAATTTCATATGATTTAAAATATGTGTCCAATTCGTCATTTAATATCTGGCGTAGTGATGTTCAAAACTTCACACGACAAAGTCCCATGAATTAACCTCCATCTTAATCTCCGTTAAAAGTTTTTTAACACAGTCATATAAAATGCATGTCTAAAATCATATTCAATCATAACAATTTTTTTTTCATATTCTTAACTTTATATAGTTGTAAAGATGAAATAATATTTTTAAAATTGGTACCAGATAACTACTAATTGCTGGTTTCTTATTTATCTATACTAAATCATGTAACTAATAACAACTCTATAATAAAAAAAAATATATTATTATTATTTTTATGAAAAATTCTTAGATTTGCAATAAAAAAATTAAGAGCCACTTACTGAGATAAAATATAGCCCTTGGGAAGTGTAACTTTCTAGTGTCTTATTTTTAAATTTTTTTTTTAATCGGTCATATTGTTCTAGAGACTACCCCGAACAAACGAACAATTTTTTTACTTTATATAATTTTAGTATTGATATAGATAAGTCATAATAATTATATGAGTTTTATTTAATTTAAAATTAAACAGAAAATATTTATATTGTGGGAGTGCATAACATTGTTCATTTACTTAGGGCGCTATTCTACCTCTGACCTTAAATAGTCATAATGTTCTAGTGATTTAAAACGACGCCTTAAAATCTATAAAATCATTTGTTATTTACTGTTTCTCTATGAAGAAAAAAAACATTAAGCCATATGGAATATTCTCATAAAGTTGGGATTCGTGTTTAACTGTAAGTCACTGGTGACACAATGATGAAAAACACATAATTGAGACACAAATAATATTGTTTGCTGTAGCCTATAACGGGAACATAATATTTGAAAATATACAAACAAAATAAGCTTTTATGAGATCAAAATTAATGTTAAAACTGACCTTTTATGAAGTCTATAGCCATTTCCAATCCATACGTATCCTTGTCGCAGTCGTCCAATATAAGTGCTCCAATTTTAAACTTGGTCCACTGCTTGTTGATTTGATCCAAGGTATAGAGCATCGTCTCCACAGTCTGTATACCACCTTGAGCCATTATCGGACCGCAAGTGAACTGTGTATCCTCCCGGGAATGAACCATCATCAGTCCACCGAGAAGCAAATCGCCCTCGACTACAGCCTCTTTTTTCAAGGGCCATACAAACTGCTCCGTGGAAAGTCCGGAATGCCGCATATGACGCATGCGCACTTCTGGAAACGGAGTCTGCGACACTCGACGAAGCCATCCCGTATGATTCAAACACACCACAAACGGAGACCACAGCACAACTAGAGTTATGAGTGTATAAAATCCGGCTGCCATTTTGAGTTTTAAAAGAAATGAACCCGGTCCAGTGTCCACAACATACGGTGTTTAAAAACTCAGGTCCCCATCGGTGAATTCAATCGTCCGACCTACCTAAACATAAATATGAACATTAGATTACAAAATCGTGAAATCTTGTATATAAAGCCTTATAAATATATGAAAAAAACCGGGGAAGTCTATCTGCTGTTTGGAGTGATGTTGACACTATCTCATCATTGAGTAAATTATTATAATGGATGTGTTAAAATTGAATCTAAAAGTAAATCAGTTCATATGAAAAACGATTCTTGTCAGAAAACACCTTCCTTTCTGTCTAAGGATATTTTATCATATTTTATTATTTAATATATATATATAGGTATTAAATCATTTCATAAGTGAAAAGGTTACCAAGATTGATTTAAACTAGTTGCTATACTTAAGAATAAGCTGTTAATACTGTTTATTCTCTTTTTTATTCAAGCCACTCTTCTAGCTTGTGAATACTAATTAAAATATAAAAGAAATACATTTTTAATTCAAATATATAAAGAACAGTGACAAAATATACTATGTTAAGTCTTAAACAAAAAAAATACCAAAGAACTAAAAGATTTTTACATATTTTATAAAAATATAATTATATTTCATTGAATATTTTTAAATAATCTGAATTCAGATTATTAAAAGTGCATATGAATATTTACAAACATAAAAATAAATAATTATATTTAATAGAATGCACCTATAAGAAGTATAAGAAAATATAGTAATTCGTTATTAATTGACAAAAATGTTATTGGGTTACTACTGACTAGATGAAAAGTGAGAAAACCACTTAAAAAAAGAGCATGTGTGTATTTATTTCAATAAAATAAATAAGAGTTAATATTATCATTGCTGGAATGAATACACAAAGATTTCAGTTCAAACAATTGTTTACAATCGAAATAAAATGTCATCAATACTATAAAGGTGAAATTCAATAACTGAAACCTAAATGTTATATTTTACGGCAATAATTAAGATACCTATACCTAACAAAATTAATTGGTATTTAAATTTTCAACAATAAATCTGTCTACTAACTATATCTGTACACTATAAAGAGACGTTTTATAAAGCCCATTAATGAATAAGCTATTCAAATTTAGTCATTTTCAATAGACCTCCATGGAATATCTTAGAACATAAATTTATATCATTTTCTCTTTCAATCAACATAAATTATGGTTAAAAACTTTAAAATGTCTTAACAAAAAATAATTTTTTAACTAAAAATGTCAAATATCTCTTAAAACACTATAATATTACATATAATAGTTTTATTAAAATTATATAATAATAATTAGTATTATTATTTAATGTTATCGTACATGTATTTTAATATCAATATTTAGATTAGCTATTTTAATAATATTTGATAATTTATATTATATTTATAAATATTTACCGTTTATTAATTTCAATATAGTATTTGCATATATTTTGTTTAGTTTTACACTTAAGGCACTTATCTCAGTAAAATCATAAAACGAGACAATAAAAAAAGTTCAACAGCAAAAACAAAAAAATTCCCAACAAATGTTTGATGAATAAAATCTCACACTGCGTTTTTAGCAAACAATCGTGTAAAATTAAAATTAATAATAGATCAATTTTGCTATCTTAATACTTTTATGCTATTTCATATTCGATTTACCTTTTTTTAAAACATCGACTGAATAATAAAATAGTAAATATTGAATAACAATAGTATAAAACAAAAGTAGGAATCATAAAAATGTAATATTATATTAAGTAGAGTTTTTTACAGTTTTCTAAAAAAACTACAGTAAAAAATTACTTAACGTTTTTGAAGGGCTCCTCCTACCCAAAAGGAGTGATAAAATATAAAAAACTTGAAAAAACATGTAACATTTTGCAACGAAAAGAAACCTTGCCTCGGTCAGAGTCCAAAACGACCTTCGTGTCACATGAAAACATGAAAAAAGGTTTACTTAAACCTTTGAACTACATTTCAATAAGAATAAAATATTGTATACTATATCAATATAAACCTAACGTAACATATATTATTTTCCTTAGAACATTTATAATAAATTGCATCACATAAGTAAATATATTAGAAAATAATACGAACTACCTACCTAAATAAAATATCACAGCTAAATATTTGTAATTATAAATAATCCAATTATAATAAAACAATGATCAAAAAACGAATACTGAGTTACATATCTAACTGCAAACATAAAAAGCTAATCACAAATACATTTAAAGACTAAAATTGAATTGAATATTACATTTCTAAAACATTAAAATTGTAATTTTTATATTTTTTTTACCAACAATTTTTTTAGATGCAATAAATCATAAATTATGTTGATATTTGTTTTATACTATTTAATTAGATTAAATTATGAATTATTTAAATTAAGTATTTTGAATAAACAAAAAATAAAATGTATACAATTTTAATACGGTTTTAGAAAAAAAATTAAAGGTTTATACTCTATTTTTAAACATAATAAGACAAAGCATTTGAATAATATTAAAATTTTAATTTTATTATCATCTACGTAAACATTAAAATGCTTAAAACAAATCATATTTGTTTTCAAAAATTAATTCTCGTACTGACAATCTCCAAGGATACACAATTTTTTTACCATGTACTACACATTATTAAAAAAAACCACTATATATTTTATTTTAAACCGGTCAAAATATCTTATTTTAAAATTGCTATTTTAATTTTTAAAACTATTTTGATATTTAATAATTAAAGGCACTTCATACTCCACCAATTAGTTATTTTCTTAACAGAAACTTTTTTTTAAATCGACCGAATTAGTAGTCATAAAAATAATATAGAAACATACTTATCATTTTTTTGCAAACAGTAACAAAAAATCAATTTTTGCATCAGATATTTTTGGTGATTGAATGCAGTCTACTCAACAAGACAATTTCCTTTGGGAGTTATCATTATGTATATATATATCTTTATGCTTTTATTTTGTGAGTTTTGCGTCCACGGAAAATATATTTTCAACATAGGTATTTTGTTATATATAATCCCGTGGGTTTAACTCATTTTTCGGTTACTCCATTCATCCATATTTGATTTGGAAATATTATCAACACTTACGGTATTTTTCTTAGTACATTAACTCAGTGACACAAATTTATTATTACTGCATACGAGGCATATAAACCATTTTTATCTTCAAATAATATAGCAATATATTATGTGAATAAAAACTATATTAAATTACATTGTATTCAATCATAACTCATAAGTTAATATGTTTAATTTATGAATAACATTTACGAATATCGAGTTAAAATTATACTAAAAATTTGATAAAAACAAATACTTATGTAAACAGAATGAACAGACACATATTATTACCTAATGACAAATGGATTAGTATCTGTCAAATATTTTACAATAATTTATTCATAGTTAATCAAAATTAATCAAACACAGTATTAGCATAGTTATAAGTCAAAATAGAATTGTTATAAAATGCGTATAATAAAATATGTATTGATGCAGATGCAACAATAATACTTCAGTGTTTTTTTTTTTCATGATGCTACTTTATGTATCCGTGACACTCAACTTTAGACAACTTATACAAAATAAACGCGTTTTTTTTGTCATGATTCGGAATTCACTTTGCACAAAATATTGTATAGGTTTTATGTACAACGTTCATTTTATGTAATTAATGTTTTATGCTAACTTCACCCTTAATCTACAAACTATGACTAACCCATTGATGTAATACAATAATTTATAATGTTCAGCTTTAGTAAACTGTAAAATATTAAACCCTAATTACATTTGTAGATATACATAATATTTTAATATTACCATGACTAAACATAGTATGTTTTTTATTGCTATAATTAATAATAATCACATCAGTCTGGTTATCGGTGTTCATAATTTATTATTTACATCATACACAAAGGCATATTCAAATTTCATAAAAGAAATCTGATAAATTTAAAAAAACAAATTATTATATTTTCTGAATAGGGGGCCTAGAAGTTGGGTAAGTTAAGGAGAAGTAACAAATTGCATAATTATAAATTAATTTTATTATCTTAACATTTAATTTGAAAACACATTAAAATTCTAAAAGTATATAATCGTTTTCATACAACCAAAAACATAAAATATAATAAACAAATTATGTCTTATGTCGAAAATCAAGTAGATCAACAGTATTTTCTAGTGTCGCTTGTATAAACTAATTCTCTGTTGTTTGCTTATCTTAATGGCAATGTTTAATTATTTTTAAACCGAAATAGAATTTCTTTTTAAAAATAAAACACTTGCTATGAATAAAAAACTCAATAACATGTAAACGAAATCAAAAATTCTGTAGACTTAAAAATATAATTTCAAAAATAAAAAATAACATTTAAAATTTAAACCGATTCTATTTTAATACGCCTCGTAATATTACTGATTGTCCTTAAAACAAAATTTTTGTTATTATTTTAAAGCTATATTATAATGTTCATCAATAAAATAGAGATTAAACAATTATTATATGTATTTTAAACAAACATGTCACAATCACATATTACAATAGATATGACTATTAATGAAACAGAAGTACACTATACACTATTATTATACTGCAACTTAAAAGTAAAAACTAAAAGTGCTCATCAGTCTGTTAATGTAATAGCCAATAGGCATCGGTTGGAAAATAACTTATTATATTATAAGTTTGTATTTATATACATTTTACTCGAAACGCTTTATGTAACAACTGCAGTTAGCCAGTTAATATTTCATGAATCGATTTTCTCGTATGTTTCATCAATTTTTTTTAAGTATAAAAACATATTGTGCAATCTACCCTTATGTTATACTGTATATATTTTTTATATTTTCCTGCCTAACATTGATCCGTCTAACTCAATTCTTCGTCTCTATTCATAGCATTCTCAAATACGAACGTTACTTGAATAACAGTACAGCTAAAACATTAACACCCATCGAATGTTTCAAAAAATAAAGACCCACATACACACGATGACAAAGCACCACCCATACCAGTAGGTAGGTACTACGTAGATGT